GCTTAAGGTTAAGTTAAATTTCAACTTCAAATTAAGTTAGTATGAGCTTAAGGTTAAGTTAAATTTCAACTTCAAATTAAGTTAGTATGAGCTTAAGGTTAAGTTAAAATTCAACTTCAAATTAAGTTAGTATGAGTTTATGTTATATTTTGGTTAGTTTATGTTTAAATTTTATCTTCAGTCTAATTAGGGTCTGTTTTTTATGTTAAGTTAGATTTAGTTCAAATTTAAGCTTTGAGTTACGTTAATTTAATTATATTTCAATTTGAGTTGATTTTATTTTAATTTTAATTTGATCCAAACCAATCTAAACCAATCAAAATCCTAAGCCAAGCCAAGATCAACTACCTAAGAAAAACTAGGAAGAAACCTAAGCCTAGATAGGAAAGAGGTTAGGAAAGACATATTAACCAAAAATAGGGGAGTGATCAGGAAGGAGATGTTGACCAAAATAAAGTCCGCAATTATTGATTTTTATACCCATTTAACAAGCATTGCCCAAAATTCTGATAATTCATGGGCATATTTTTGTATGACCACTCACATAACCACAAGTGAAGCAAAAAGCAACTGCAAACCTTATGCATAAGTTAACCTCAAAGTTACTAATACAATAACAACAAGCCTTTATCCCACTAGGTGAGATCAGCTAAATGAATCATTTATCTCAATTGTTTCCTATTGAGTGTCATATTTTCATTTAATTCTAGTAAATTAAGATATTTTTTTATACAACATGCCCATGTCTATTTAGAATTACCTCTCCCTTTCTTAACACAAGTCAAATCTAAAAAATCTACTGTCATAACTGGATTATCAGATAGTCGACGTTTAATTTGACCAAATCATCCAAGACAACTCTCTCTAATCATGTCTGTCACTTGAATTTACACGGATATATTCGTTTCACATTCTGTCATTGAGTGTAAAGCCACTTATCCACCTCAGCAACCTATCTCAGCAAGACTTAATTAGTTTTATGCCTCTCTATTATAAGCAACATTCTATGTCATAAAGCATTGCAAATTTCAACACCATCTGGAAAAATTTTCCTTTTAAGTCTATTTAAGTCTAAGCGTACTTTTCTATCACACAATAAGCCCGATGCATTCCTCCACTTCAACCATCCAACTTGAATTCTACTAATAAAATCCTCATCTATATCACCATCACTTTGAACAATAGACCCGAGATATCTAAAACGTGTTTGACCACCCATTAATCGCGATTTTACTAGCATGGCCAAATAACAAAACAAATATAATACCATACATAAGGATTCTTACAGGAAAATTTTGTTTTTCAAATGTTTGAACTCTTAAGAGGCCATTATAATTGATTTAATGGCACCTGCAGCACACTATGTAAGGAAAATCATTATAAAAATTAAAAAATAATAGCATTGTGACTCTTAACTCTGGTTAGTGAGGCTTTCCCCACAAAAGAAGAAAGAGTAATGTTGCAATGAAATTCGTGATAGCAGCAATTAGTAAAATAAGTAATTTTTTCAGGCTCGTTTGGTAGAAATAAGGTCATAATATTCTTGTAGAGATGTACGAGCTGCTCTACAAGTGTGTTTCCCAGAAGAGGTGTGAATGCGAAATCACTTTCTTTCGCATGTTAAAAAGCGCGATGTACCAAGTTCTTAAATTCAAAAAAGATGAAAAGCACTCCCTATCAAAGCCTTGAATTTTAAAATCACGGTATATTTCATGTCCCAGCTCCATTTCTGGACAGAAAGCAATATTTTAATTTAGAAACTGGGGTTTAGGTATACCATGGGAAGCACTTTTTGCGAATTTGCTCTTTGTCAGTTTTGCTGCATCGACACTTTCACAAAACACCAATCCGTCAAGTCTTGTAACCACCCAATCAGGAGCAGTATTTAGCCATAACCCTTTCCCTGTCTCGTTATGTTTGAAATCTGGATTCTTGGTACTTAACTGCAGAGTATATGGCAGATATAAATTTTAAAATAACAATAAATAATTAGCGGAAAAAATAAAAATAAATCTGCCTCTTTTCTGAACTCAAACAGATAAATAACATAAAAAAATTTAGTCACCAATCCCTTCAGCTTCCCCTCCCGATTGTCCAACCATTTTTGAGGATCAATAACTAATTCATTCCACAAACTCTTGACATTATCAGACGGCTTCATATCACCTATATATGAGAACAGTGCTTAATTTAGATAGCAAGGACATAAATAGTCGAAACACTTATGCAAGAGCCAAAGCTGACTTCTAAGATATCACTCATATGTAGAAGTAAAAGAGAAGTGCTCAATGTACATTATATCCTTTAACACAACAATCAACTAGCCAAAAAATAAAGAGCAGAAAGATTTGAAAAATGAAAATCAAAACTCCATGAAACATAACATGTAATGCACAAGGACAACTAAAAGATAGAAAAATGTCAAAATAGTTCTCTGACTCTTTGCAAAATGTCATTATAGTACGAGAGTCAATAAAGGGGTCCATTTATTCCCCAAATTCTTTTAATGTGGGCTAAAGCGGTCCCCACAAAGAACTATTTCAGCTCCGATTTAAAAAGTTGGGTGACTAAGGTTGCATTTGGGGCTGCGGTGTGGTGCTGCACCGCACTTTCAGTCATTTCACAAAACTGTGTTTTATAAGTTTTTTCAAAAACCTGTGATAGAAGTAGCGTTTTGCAACCTGACTTGGCTAAAAGTGCAGTTACTGCTAGAAAGTTGCAGTTTGACATTTTAAAATAAAACAAATTTTGTAACAGGAGCAACTTCACAGTTATTTCTTCAAACAGCTATAATTGCCCCAAATAGACCCTAAATTGACACTTTGTAGACTCCAGGACTAAAATGACCACATGCAAACAGTCAGGGGGCATTTTGACACTTCACTCCTAAAAGATAATAGTAGCCTAACCAATATAAGTTGTAAAGCAATACGCAACAATTTGAAGTCTGAAAGTCGCCCACTAAATCTGGTAACTGCAATGACAGTAATAAACTACCATAGCTTCTACAATACAGTAAAAATATACCAATCATGGTCCTCAATTTATGGCTCCAAAATTCAAAAACTAACCATGAAAGTCTTATACCTATTACTCAGGTTAAACAAGTTTACCAAACAAAAGTTTTGGTCTAATCGAGTTCCATAACATCAATAACCCTCTCTACCAACAAACTTTTCCAGGTGGAACAGCAAAAACACCCCAAGTTTAACAATAAACTATGCATGAATAGAAATCCGTATATGTGTCAAATATATAATAACATATTATCTAACAAAGTAATTTTTAAATGACATTTTATATCATACAAACCTGAACTTACTTTTCTACACCTCAGCGTTGCACATCCTAGATATAATTGCAGCATTCAAGTAGGATGCCTTCTTATTTTTCAATTAGCAATGACACTAATGGTTGTTAGAAGTTTAACCAAATGAAAAAAGTAAACACAATGATGAGCAACAAATACAACATTTAATTGAAAGAATGGGAAGAGCTTAAGAAGTTGACTAGCAGAAAGGACAAAAATGATTGTGATAATGTCAATGAATATATAATCAACAGTCATCAAGCAATCTTGATTCAACAGTCATCATGAGATATATTTTCAGAATTCTCTGCTCCAAGTTGTTGGCCCTCTAAAAGACCTGCTGCTAGCGAGACTTGAATGTACCCGGTCATAATTTCTACAGCAACTACTCATAAAGAGCTACAAACCCCTATATAGTTGTCATTGGCGCTACAATCCAGAGAACAACCAGTTGCTCAGAGGCTAATTCCAGATTTCATTGTGTTAGGAAAAATTGAAGCAATAGTCTACTTTGCTGGTTTAAAAGTCATCCAATCCCAAAGACCGCGCAGCTTTGATGTGCAGTGTGAACTCAAAAACAGAAAAAGAGACCTAGACACATGGAAAGAGCTATTCACACTAGAGATCCAAGTTAAGCAAGAAGTCATCAATCCCATCATAAACACTGGTAGCCAAAAGAATCTCACATCGACCACTCTGGTAGAAAATTTGAGGTTGGACACTATACTTAATCCAAGAAATTATCTTTTAGATTGGATTCAAATGGAGTCCAGGTTGATGAGTGATCTCCAAAATATGGTCAAATTTACAATCACTAATGACCACATCAATAACATGATATAAAAGTTCATTTCATGTGACAACTATCAAGTCATATTTGAGAGTTCATACTTACATGAAAGGTATGTAGTGTAGTATTTTTGGCGCTACCAATGACAAATGACAAAGGATGGAAAGTAATTGGTAAAGGGCTATGGTTTACCACCCGTGAATGTCGCAATGGCAGACCAGGTAAGTAAACTTACAAATGCTAACTAAAATAGTTTGCTTCTGCTTCTTAGGCCTGTCATGAAGGAAGAAAAGTCCTGGGTTCTTTATGAGCAAAGCACGAGATCTACAATCACAAAAACTGTTGAAAAAGTATGCATTGCTCTTTCAAAAGTACAAAGGTTGCCACCAAAGTATTCTTACATAACTAAAGGCAATCAATGACTGGTCTAGATTATAAACAACAATATCAAGGGTCACATTGGAGCCTAACAATATTCATCAGTTTATGCACCATTTTTCAATACTTGTCTATCATTTACATGCTTTAAACAGAGCCAAAAGCAGCAGGATTCATTTCTCGTTATAGATTCTATAGAATCATTAACGGTGCTACTGATGATTACTTTAGGATTTGAAGAGGCCTCTGAGGACAAACTCTCCAATCCACAGACAATGTTGTATTTTATCATCCTCATCATTCACTGGAGTAGATTGAATGCTCTAATACTATGATGAATTTGGAGAAAAGTCTTAAGTTTTATTTGTTTTCTTTAGTTTTTAGATGCATGAACTTAAAGCTCCATATAGCTAGAAGACCAAAATCTTCCTATCATCTAGCCATTAATTACAAAAAATAAAAATTAAAAAAAAATTGAAATGCACAAGGAAAAAATAAAACAAAGAAAGAGAGACAATTGATTGATTAATGATAACATCACACCTAAATATCACCTCTAATAATATTGATTGATAATTGTAAATATCACATCCACTAAAATTGCATATTATATACTCAATCAACACTCTTCTAATTCGAAGTTATCAATCTACTAAATATTTTCCATATTGTTCTAATTTTCACCTATATTAGAAAATATCCCAACAATTAGAAGAATGTAAACATCTCAGTTTAAATATCCTTTGTGAACACCTCCATAACCAATAAAAAATAATATGAACTCAATGCTGATCCGTTATGTAATCTTGTTTTCCTCCTGTAATTAGAAATTATCTAATCAATCAGAATATTTTCAATACCAGTTAGTACCTCAGCATATATTTCTTTTATAACTTCAACATACCTTCAACACAAAACTCTCTTTCCAAATGCATGCCAAATTATTTTTTATGGTTCTTAATCATATGCATTCTCGAAATCATAAAATTATATGAAGAATATTAGTTTTCCCTTTAAACTATTCTATTAACTCTCCTACCAAAAAAAAAAAAAACTGACAGTAACATTAGCATAATTATTTCAAAATTCCAGAAACGAGGATTTCTCTTGCATTCATTTTGACATTACAATCAAATATTATTTTACTCTTAACAGAAAAAATATACTCGCCTACACACCAAAAGCTATATGTTCTTAAGTAGGAAAACTAAAAGAGGTGTAAGAAACATTTGGACCAGAAAAAAGGAAAGCACAAATTGCTTTAGATAAATAATGGCATAAATATAACAGTGATCAACTTGGGAGCAAGGTGTGTGTGCCTGGAGGGGCAGGGTACGCTTCAACTAATAAAGAGAACAAAAAGAAAGATTCAGTCAGGATATTAACCAAAATACGGTTGGCACATAATACACTATAGATAATAGGCAATTCTTTTCAAAGTAGATATGTTAAAATTAGAGCTTTAAGCTGCCAGGAATAGTTGAAAAGTCAAAAGTAATAAATTTTAAGAGGGTTATACACCATGCTGTTTCACAAGATTCAATACATTATAATATTCCAAATTAGAGTATGATTACAAGTCATGACTTTTAGCATGAAGCACAAACTGAATTTTCATACATATAATCTTTTTCTTTTCAAATAATTAAAAAAAACAACCAAATAAATAAATAGAAAAATTTATAATCAACAATGTGGATAAGATTTAATCTGAAGTGCATGATAAACAGTCAAAATCAACTAAAAGACTAGAATACCTGAATCAGAAGTAGATACCTCTTCCTGCATGTGTATGTATCCGCCTCTTTTTTGTGAGCTAGCATCCTTGACAAAGTTCAGGCTATGAGCTAAAAGCTAAAAAGAACATAGCGTGCATGTTAGTTCCACAACAATAACAGGCAAAATTCAACATAAGAAAATAAATTGAATTTAGCAAAAACAAGCGCAATCACGACATAGGAAAGATAAACCCTTGCAAAATTATACAAGAAAAATAATTACCCCTTGCACTGTCAATTTTTGCCCACAAAACAAAAAAGTGTAGCATCACACTATCAAGACCAAAATAAATGACTAATTCATTAATATTTGCAAAGATTTAAATCATTGAGAAAGCCAATTGCCTCCTTTTTCACTCCCTGATACAGCAACTGCAAATATTAACTGTTCAAAAAATCAAATAAAACAGAATAACAACATTCACAGGTTACATGTTATTTGGAAAGTTTTGAGGTATTAAAAGTACGGAACATTGTTTAAACAGCATTATTGTCTAAAACAAGCATGATAATTTATCATGAAGATTTCTCATGAAATTCAAATATTTAAGTCAACTTCAGCGTGACCGGCAAAAGCATATTGCGCGTCAAAGTTAAAAATTATTGGAGTAATAACATCTTATCGCATTCAATCATTCCATAGATCACTCAATAACACTGATAAAATCACTTGAGTTAAACCAAAATGGACAAAAAAAACCACAATCCAACAGCATTACCCCTTGCAATGTCAATTTTTGCCCACAAAACAAAAAAGTGTAGCATCACACTATCAAGACCAAAATAAATGACTAATTCATTAATATTTGCAAAGATTTAAATCATTGAGAAAGCCAATTGCCTCCTTTTTCACTCCCTGATACAGCAACTGCAAATATTAACTGTTCAAAAAATCAAATAAAACAGAATAACAACATTCACAGGTTACATGTTATTTGGAAAGTTTTGAGGTATTAAAAGTACGGAACATTGTTTAAACAGCATTATTGTCTAAAACAAGCATGATAATTTATCATGAAGATTTCTCATGAAATTCAAATATTTAAGTCAACTTCAGCGTGACCGGCAAAAGCATATTGCGCGTCAAAATTAAAAATTATTGGAGTAATAACATCTTATCGCATTCAATCATTCCATAGATCACTCAATAACACTGATAAAATCACTGGAGTTAAACCAAAATGGACAAAAAAACAACAATCCATATTGAAATATGATAAAACAAGAGTCTCGAGCGATAAAGTAAATGCTACATAATAAATAATAAATGGATAACAAAATACATAACAAGAGTTGTATAGCCTAAATATAAACTCAAACTCGGAATATATCGAATTGATAGTTGGTACTCGATACTCAATAGTCATTTTAGTAATAGACACTCGAAACTAGGTATTCAACACTTAATAGTCAGTAGTTGATACGCGATACTTAGCAATCGTACTCGACACTCAGCAGTCTGTGCTTGATAGTAGGTACTCATTAATCATACTTGATATTTGACAAGCAGCACTCAATAGTCGATAATCCACCACAAATGTGTATATTTAGTTCTTTGATTTTCTTATAACTTTAAAAGATAATTGTGCAAAGAATAAAAGTATAAGAAAAAAATTGTTCATTGCTTACCAGTTATATATATATGAAAGGAAAGAGAATGAGAGAGGTCCTCCTGAGGCCAATTAAAATAGTTCCCACAGCTATGCTCAAGATCCCATATTGAAATATGATAAAACAAGAGTCTCGAGCGATAAAGTAAATGCTACATAATAAATAATAAATGGATAACAAAATACATAACAAGAGTTGTATAGCCTAAATATAAACTCAAACTCGGAATATATCGAATTGATAGTTGGTACTCGATACTCAATAGTCATTTTAGTAATAGACACTCGAAACTAGGTATTCAACACTTAATAGTCAGTAGTTGATACGCGATACTTAGCAATCGTACTCGACACTCAGCAGTCTGTGCTTGATAGTAGGTACTCATTAATCATACTTGATATTTGACAAGCAGCACTCAATAGTCGATAATCCACCACAAATGTGTATATTTAGTTCTTTGATTTTCTTATAACTTTAAAAGATAATTGTGCAAAGAATAAAAGTATAAGAAAAAAATTGTTCATTGCTTACCAGTAAAGCTTATGCTTTGCTCATCTTTGTGGGAGGTTCAGACATAACTTGTTGACCTAGTCGTTCAGTTAGACTACATGAGACTAGTTAGGGCAACTTTTGTTGATAACTTCTTGCTAACCTCATTTTTAGTCAACAAACTCACATCCAACTCAACACACACTCATGGAGCCCCTCCTTGGACCGACATGGATACTCTCGGTTCGGGAGTAGCCACGCCCATAAGTTCCTGGGCGTAGTCACGATCGGATCGAGTATAGCCACGCCTAGGAGTTTTTCGGCATGTTCATGCTCAATTCAGACGTAGCCACGCTCAAAAATTTCTCAGCATGGTCACGCCCAATCCGGCGTAGACACGTCCAGAAGAGCCTGAGTGTCTTAGTTAGCGCCAAAGACTAGGACATACAGAATAAATAATCTACCCCTGAGGCTATTACTGAAAAAATATTTTAGATCGCCTCGAAATTATGAATCATCTATATGTCACGTCACTCAAGGGGCATTCCTAGTTACGAGGTTGGTTATGGTTGACAGATATCAATGTCCCCAGGACGACGGAAAACCATGAGTATCCTGACAAAAGAGATTATTCCTAAAGTCTAGGTTAGTCCACCCCATCTAAATTCCTTGTAGAGTTTAAGGTTTTCACTTCCATCTAGAAATCCTTCTCAACCGACTCTGTCCTTTAGTTTAGGAATTATAATCATTTCCATCAGTCAAATCAAGCATTCCTCCTTTCGATGGTTAAATCCATTCACTTGGACTTTTTTCAAAGCCACACCGCCATCAAACAGTAAGTCTCGTCCATTAGAGCTTAATTCCTCCAACTTGGATCCTTTCTTTTTCTCCAACGCCTCAATTATGAAAGTTCAATCTTTTGATAACCTGACTCATTACATTAATCGAGAGCTTTCTCTAGAGCTCATAACTTTTGAAATGTAATTAACTATTAGGGTTTGTTTCTCTAGAGCTCATAACTTTTGAAATGTAATTAATTATTAGGGTTTGCCCTTATAGGGAACGAGACCTCATAGTTAAAATAAAACTTATGTTACACTTGCAAGGTAAGGGAAAAAAACCCGATTTCGTAGACTTTCGAAGATTTTCATCATCTAGGTGGTCCAGCGCATTTTTAAGGTAATGTTTTCTTCCTTCGGGAAGATATATTATTCTTCAAAATGACATGTACGGTCAAGTTATATGGAAGTCTTACAAAAAGTTATATGATTTGTGGCGACACAAAAATTCCCTCGCCAAGACTTTTCTCTGAGAACTTCGTTGGGGACGTGTTCTTCTCTCCATTTTTTATAATGAGTTAGGTGTCATCTGTATCCCTTACAGATTCAGGTTACTCATCCTCTCGTTGGGCTTTCCATTTTGTAATGGATCCATCAAGTTACCCGATTTTTGTGTCCTATCCCGCATCCTTAATTTTCATGTTTCTTACTGCTCGTTTAAACTATGTTTGATGAGTAGGGTTTTCAGAACATGCTCTATCATCAGTTCTCCTTAGAGCATTTTTTTTAAATTAAATTGAGTCTTAATTTCATTTAAAAACTTCAAAGATTCTATAGTTGACTCTATTGATTTCTTTTCCAAACCCATCACAGAAAAGATGTCTCCTAAACTCATATTCCCCTTTGAAAACGAACGTAATTTGGCCTTTGGTCCAAGTCATCTGAACGGTGGGTCTCAATGATTTCAATTTTGCCATAGTTGACTTTCAAATCCCAACAACAAAGAATTGTCACCGGATTATGGCATCGAATCAGAAAAAGGTTTATGTCATCACTCCTTGAAATCCTAAGAATTCCTCGAAACCACTCATATGAGTCACCAGGTAAATCCATTAGGAACCCAAGACATATGACACTTAACCTGTCTCCCGTGCAATTGAAATGGGAATTACTGGTTTGCAAAAATAGGAAATTACTTGGAAGAATTTGGGTATTAGGAACCACTCTTAGGATGACAATTCTAATCAAGCATCTATGCAATATTTTGAAAATTGTCAATAAAATAAATCACAGAGAATTTTAAGAGTCAAAAATTTTTCATAAAATTACCGAATCACCAAAATATTGGACGACCGATTGGATATTTTATCGGATCACAATTTCATCCTGGAAGAAAGATTAAAGTTCAATCTTACACTTAGTCGGTTCAAAAGTATTAAGCCGAGCAAAACCTACTTGGAAAACCCAAAAGAGCATTTCTCTTTCCTTGGCTCCAAATTTGTCTCATAATTGAGCAAAGACCACAATTTTATCATTTTAAATCAAATTTGGCACTCAACCATGTGTGGGATAGCTAAACCGGAGACCTAGAAGCCAAAATGGGCCATTTGGTTTAGCGTGACCACGCCTAATTCAGGCATAACGACACTGGTCTGGCATGACCACGCTCAAACCGGGCATAATCACGCCGAAGCCTCCTTATATTAGTTTGGCCCCCTCTTGTTCGCCAATTTCTCCTTTCCAACACCTCTAAACAGCTACCCCATGCCCTAGTTTGCCGATAAAACCCTCCAAGAGCTAAAAACTGACCACAAAAAGCTCGAATCCGAAAGTTCTTGCAATCCTAGGTTAGATCCTCAACTCATTCCACAATTTCACTGTGAGTTTTTCAATTTTTCCTTCAAAACTTCCCAAATCAAACCACTGCTTCCACCCACAATACCGCCAAGAGTGAGAGGTAGGGGGTTACTGATTACAATGAAAGGAGATTTGTGAGTTTGGCAGTTGTCCAACATTTGTCTGGCATCATATTAAAGAAGAAATTGGTCCCTGAGAATCTCCAAGCACTGAGGAGTGAGATCCAAAGTGTGATAGCGAGTCGGGTTTAAGGAATGTTCTAATCTATTGTTGGCCTTGTTGTTGGCCCGTTCGTCCATGAATTTTATGCTAACGCAAAAGAGTCCTTGGATGGGTGAGT